TCACCATGCTGACCAGGATGGTCTCGATCTCTTGACCTCGTGATCCACCCGCCTCGGCCTCCCAAAGTGCTGGGATTACAGGCTTGAGCCACCGCGCCCGGCCTTCTCATATATTTTAAAAGGATCCAGGGCAGTTGGTAGCAGTAAAGAAAGAAGTGGGCGTTATTTTAGATCTACTTTAGAGGTGGAGTCAATAGTACATGCTGATGGACTATACACTGGGTATGAGCAAGAGGAATCAAGGATGACTCTAGGGTTTTTAGCCCTGAGCAACCGTAAGAGTGAGAATTGTCTTTAACTAAGACCATGATGCTGTGGGAAGAGCAGGTCTAGCAAGGGGAGTGGAAAGGATCAACAGTTCAGTTCTGGACATTTTTGGTTTAGGCTGTTTATCAGACATCCACATGGATATGTCAACTAGACACATGGATACATAGAGAGACTGTGAGAAGTCTGGGCTGGAGACATAAATCTGGGAATTCTCAGATTATAGGTAGTACTTAAAACCAAAGGACTAGATGAGAGCACTACGGAGTCAATGCAAAGAGAGAAAGCAAAGAGAATGAAGGAATGAGTCCTAGAGAGAGAAATTTTGTAAAAGAAATTGAAAAGGAATAACTAGTAATGTAGAAGGAAAACCAAGAAAGTCTGGGGTTCAAAAAGCAGAGTAAAGAAAATTTATCAAAGGGATAAAAGTAATCAGCTTTGCCAAAAGCTGATCTTTCAAGTAAAGTGAGAACTAAGAATTGGCTCTTAACATAGTAGAAGTCATTGTGGTTTTGATGAGAATAGTTTTGCTGTGTGTAGAGGTTGAATGAGGGGAGAAGACCTGACTATAGGGAAACTAAGAGAGGATGAAAGAATGAGGCCAGACGCTGTAGCTGTAATCCCAACACTTTGGGAGCCTGGGGCAGGCACATCATCTGAGGTCAGGTGTTTGAGACCAGCCTGGCCAACATGGCAAAACCCCATCTCTACTAAAAACACAAAAAATTTAGCCGGGTGTAGTGGTGGTGTAATCCCAGCCACTTGGGGAAGCTGAGGCACAAGAATCGCTTGAACCCAGGAGGCAGAGGTTGCAGTGAGCTGAGATCACGCGACTGCACTCCAGCCTGGGCAACAGAGCCAGATTCTGTTTCAAAAACAACAACAAAAGTTTCACCGATCATTTTAAGTAAATACTCAGAATTAGAAATCAAATGTTTCATGTCAGTTTGTTCAAAAATTGTTTC